AACTTATGACTTAATCATCAGTGGTTATCAACTTTAGATAACCTTGCTCTGGTATATTTTTTTAGTGTGTAATATGTGAGTTAACTTCTTAGTAATTTATCCATTCACACCTTTTTTACCTGAATATCAATTTTATAGTGGAAGGATATGCACCATCTTAACACTGAATTACTTTATACATCAGGCATACACTGGTAAATAAGTCATGAGTATAAAACATAGGTAAAAATGTTGAAAGTCCTTTCATTTCCCCACTGAAACAAGTAAATACTACTATTGTTCCTGGATATCAAAATATATATAGTAATCCATAAATCAGGAGAATATTTACATTTACATTTGCACGGATAAGCACTCAAGTCGTTACCTAACTCTGCACTTTATGCTTATTCATTACAATATATTTACAAGATTACCTCCTATTTCATAAATACAGTGCAATATAGAATATTTCTACATTGAATAAAGACATCATCTTGTAACTATTTTCAATTTTTATACTTTATCTTAATTTCAGTGCTACAACAGTCCAATATGTCTTTATTGACATAGAATAAAATTTTCCAAAGCACCTACGTGCTTTTCTTTTCTCCTAAGTTATTTAGGAGCCAATGTCCCATTGAAAATCATTGGATTTTGCTTCTTAAATAACTTAGGCATTTTTTAAAATTCCACTCAGACTTTATTCTGTAATAAGTTCTTTTCTCCCTAAGGTATATATTTTAATGATTTTTGTCTTCCCCTGTGTATTCTACATTTTCTTTTCAACCACCAGTGTAGTCTTCTTTTGGTGCAATTCAGAGCATGAGCAAGTTGATGGCAAAGCTAAAATATCTGTTACTGTTGATGATCTGTATATGCTAGCAAATATTAACTGTTTCCCTATTTTATAATTAATATATTGCTGTTTGTATAAGAACCATGTCCAGTGTAATTAATATATTGTTACAAGATGCTATACATGTGTGACTAATATGAATAATTGTACACTGAAACTTTATACAGTTTTAAATATATTCAAATATATTACATTTTAAAGTATATTAACAGCACATCATAATGTCTACACACCAGCGAGAAAAGGTTAAGAGTTTTTATTTTTTAAGACAAAAAGCATTTTTTAAAGGAGCTTTGCACTTCCAGGTCTTTCAACAAAGTGGCAATAATGTGGAATGATTTGACTAGACAACATTGTTTCACACACCTTAGAAAGCCCACAGAAAGGAATCCTGCTCTGTGACTCAGGAGCTACGCAGCTGAGGAAGGTGGAAAGCACCTTTCCCAGATGCATAACTCCTAAGGTCCATCAGAGTGGTCCTCTTTCCAGCAAATCTTACAAAGTGCACAGCAGCTAATCCTAGCCCCTTCAAACTTTCAAGAAACTCTTTGGGGAAGGAACCCTCTTTTTGTTATGTTTGTACAATGCCTAGCAGTGTGGGGCAGGGACCTCTAAGTGCTACCACAATACATATGATAAATAATTAGCTGTTAGCCATGTATGTAAACACAGCACAAACTTTTACTCATCCTTAGCTATATACAGTACAGACAAAAAATCTGGTACACAATGTGCTGTGCACTTTCACAAGATCATAACTTGGTAAAATCAAAATTACCTAAAACATTAAAAAGCACATCTTCTCAAAGATGGAGGGAAGGAAGGGGTTTTTTTTTCATTCTACTTGAACTCAAAATTTGCTGAATAATTTCTTCTCAAGTTTTCCAAAAATTTCAGCTCTGGGCAGAGATTGAGCCTCAGAAATTTCTATGTGAAAATTAAAAATTTCAGAAAAAGTTCTCAACAACTGACATCAGGACCTTAGTTTGGAACAGAAATGTAACCATGATTGTAATGGTCACTGTTATTCCTTCTATAATGTAATTTTAGTGTCTATTCTCCTGAGATTTCCTAAAGAAAGGTGGTTCAGAGAGGGGTGACAAGGAAGACTAAGTACAAAGACAAACTCTCATAGGAAGAGACTTTAAAATTTTTTTAACTGTTTACTTTAAAAAGGAGGCAAAAATAGAGGGGACATGATAATATATATGTAGAAGATAATGAATGGTATCGAGAAGGCAGGTATGAAGTTATGATGTTCTTATCATACAACAGAAGAACAAGGGGATACTCAATAAAACTGAAAGGTAGCAAATTCAAAACTGATAAAAGGAAATACTTTTTCAATCGAGGTATAATTAGACTGTGGAACTCATTGCTACATGATGTAATGAGGTCAAGAATTTACTAGATTCAAAGAGCGATTGGATCATTCTATCAGAGTTATAATAGTTTATGCAAAAAGGACTTTGGAAGCAAAAAAATGTCATGCTTCAGCACTTAAACCAGTCTCTAACCAGTGAAGATTAGAATAAGACCTTCATGCAGAGCAAATTAACCCACAGCTGTCTGCTATAGGGTTTTTTGCATCTTTCTCTGAAGCATCTGGTGCTGGTCATTGTCAGAGACAAGATTCTGGACTGGATGGACCACGGGTCTGATCCATTATGGCAATTCCTATGTTTCTACATTATAGAACACCATATTTTTGTTGTAGGTTGGCACAATGGTGATAAAGATAAGGGAACAGTTACAATCTAATTATATTTGCTTTGTAAGTTTTTCAGAATGGTAACGTGTATTAATGTGTTTTGGTGTGTTTCCTTTATTTTTAGTGGCTGTATTGTTTACACTAACACTGACTTTCATATAAAATGTGTTATACTCAGTAACAAAATCTCATATTGATATGTCACCAACTGTACAAGATTTAGCAAACTTACCATAAACACAAGTGAATCACAACAGAATGATATTCTTACAACTTGAACAGTTGCAAATACTGGTATTGTCAGAGGGCTTTTATGGGGATTTTTACTTTACTTATCTAAAGCCTTTTGGAGTAGATGTAAACCATTCTCTGAATTATGTCTCTTAAAGGCCTTTAATAAATCTGATGTTACTAAGCAACTACAAGTGTTGTATGTTAGTGTCACAGTAATAGGGCTAACTACATCTCTGTCCCCTTCCTGGTTTCTCTGAGCACACATCCTCATGTGTTTGGCCTCATGCTTTTACATCTCTTTTGGCAGAATTTTGCAAATCTCCCACTCTTAGATTGGGCCCTGGATTGCAGTACCCTGTATATCCACCAACTTTACCCTGCAGGTCTGTCTGCATTCAAGCACCTGCCGTTCTTTCTTTTGAGACCTATGCTCCGTGGTACATAATTGACCAAACAACCTCCTTAAAAACCAAAGCATTGCTTATTTTGTTGTAAGAACAAAGCTTTTAGAGAAAAAGGATTTTGAAGCAACAAACAGTCTAAACAATTGTCTATATTAGCTAGAGCCCTGCCATCCTGTGATGGAGACATGAGCAGGCCTAGCTTCTCCTGAGCTTGTGGGCCTTGATTCTTCAGGTCAAAATCAGTCCTCAGCAGGAGACAGAGGCAAACTCATCAAAGCTAATAGTTCTAGCATTGTCCCTTAACCACTGTTAAGTGTTTACTAAGGTGGCTGTCTTAAGCTATTCTTTTTCTTCCTGCCTGTATTCCCATACAGCTCTCTAATAAATTACACAATAGAGTCATACAGCAAACATCCCAATAATCAGGCCAACATACAACATTCATAAATTATCACAAAGCAGCTTCACATTTGTCACAGTTAGGTACTGTTCAAGTACATTGACTAGCTCTGTAGCTTATTAAATTGCAAAAATATCTTTGACTTGAAGTTAACTGGAGCTGCAGGTGTTCAGCACTTCCGAAAATCCGACCAATTTTATTTAGGAATGTAATTATGGATGTAGGACCCCAGCTTCAGTAACTCTGGTTTGAAAATGTTGGCCATAATTCTTACAAAAATGACCAAGTCAGACATGAACACATTTTCAAAACCGGTATCTGATTCTGAGCCTGCAGTTTTGTAGCTCCAAGCAGGTGCAAACAATATAGTTTATAGGCTTCATATAAAATCAGGTGCCTATGTTTGATCATACTTCCATGATTAATTGGATACAGAGTTGCTTGAAAGTGAAAAGTTAGAGGCAGTGCTCAGGGTCTTTGATCCTAAACACTAAGATCTTGATAGTGATATTCCCCTGTGCAAGAGTTGGACATAATTGTAGTCCTAGCACTACTAGGTTGATTTAGGTTGAATTTTTTTTTAAATTCTCCCTTTGTTATTCTAGCACTGGAATAACTCCACCAGTGATAGCAGCTGTGGAAGACGAGTCACTGTATTTTTGGCTCTGTGTATATCCCTGTTCCGAGCAGATCTAGATTATGTGGTAGTAAAAACGCCAGCAGCCAGACCACGCTAGCATTCCCACTGTTAACACCAGCGGGGCCAGATATGGTGGGAAATTTTACAGCAAATCTTGAGTGTAGACAGCTTTCTATAGAGTAGGGCCTCAGATGGGGGGAGTCCATAGCCCTGTGCAAATGGGAGTGAATGTGGTGTTGCAAGAGGCCCCAATGGGAAGTCGTAATTCTGCATTGTCCACACTGCAGTGTGTGGTTTACTATCACAACTAAATCCCTAAACAGTGTCCATGTGTGTTTAAAACAAATGTATAAACTATCTTGCATCATAAACATTCACTGTTACTTTCAGATAGCATTACCATCATCTTTACATTTATTTCTCAATATTAACCATCATGTGTGAATAAATCTAAAGAACCTGATATTTAAATGACAGGTTTCAGAGTAGCAGCCGTGTTAGTCTGTATTCGCAAAAAGAAAAGGAGTACTTGTGGCACCTTAGAGACTAATTTCTTTCCCACCTGAGTATTTTTTTTCTTTCCGCAGAAGTTGAAAATATGCAGAATTATTTTCATATCAATTTGACAAGAATGAGTAGGGCTGAGTCATACCACAGCCATTTAACTTTCAAGCTTTATTTACATGGTCTCATTTATTATGTGAAGTCAGCCAAGAAAGTTGAAGTGCACCCTGCTAGATTTTAACTTAACTTTTTAACTCAATTTTTTTCAGGCCTGACTGAACTCACTGACAGTCCAGTTTCCCTGGAGCTAGAGCGTTGCAAGTCTCCCACTTCAGGTAAAGGTGATTGGTATCTCTTCCTGCTAGCTGTATGAGCCGTTCATGTCATGCATTTCTGTGTTTCATTAATCCCTTGGAAGTGAAGTACATAGTCATTTACATTTGTAAACAGAAGATTTTGTTTAGAGCGGAGAGCTTGCTACATATCAAAGCATGATGCTAAGACAGTACATTTAAATTAAAGAAAAGGTAAATTGAGGATGGTGTGTGGTGGGGGAAAGAGGGATGAAATCATTTGAACTGACAGTTTCTTGAAGGACAATATTCCTGTATTTCACATTGACTCTCTCAATTTTTTTGTTAGAGAATAATTCTTCAGATCATTAGAGAGGGCTTTCTAACTGACCTTTTTAAGTGATGTTTTCAAAATAGGGTGACTCTGTGGGTTTTTTTATTATATAATAATTTGAAATGTTGTGATTTGGCGATGGTAAATTTTAACTCTTGGAAGTCGCTGATGTCTAAAGAGCTTCTAGAATTTTGTTATAGAAACATATCAAAGAAAACTCAATCACACCAGCCTCCATCTCTGAAAACCACGGGTTGTCTACCATCACTAATAGAAATTAGTGGCAAAATTGGCCTGGAAGTAGGAGTGTCACAGTTCAGAGCAATTTCCCCTCGGTGGTTCAGCAAGGGCACTCACTTTCAGCTTCGTGCTCCCCAGCCATTGCCTTTCTGTGTGGAGTCCTGCATCTCTCTTCCTTTTGACTGAGGTATTGCTAGGCTGCTCCATTCCCTGCTTTCCATATGTCTTTCCCAGCATAGACATGTTGCCCAATAACACCTGCTTACTTGCTTTCAGAAACAATTAGCAGGTGCAACTGGTTCAGTTCTAAATACCACACAGTTCTTTCTATACAAGGCTATTTTAGTCTTAAGGTAGAAGCGTTACAGAGAAAATGGTAAAAACAAGAAAAGGACCTACGCACATGCTAATAAGTTTACCAGAGTTAACCCCAATCCTAATGGATTCTAGCAGGCTCAGTCCTTCCGACTGGCCCTGAGCCAGTTTAAAACCAGGCTATTTATCCAAAACCTCTTTCTATATCTGAGAGTCCCTGGAGAATCCAGTTTGAATTAGTATATACGTACCTTTCCAAGGGGGTGGCTTCTCTGAAGATGTTACAACCTGAGTGAATTTGCCTAATCACCTCCTGCTTTTCTCCTGTTTACCCTTCCCATGGAAATATGAGCAATTCCACAGTAACACATACACAATTGCATTTTTAAATCAGTGAACTCCAAAGACATTGAAACTAATTCAATAAGGTTTAACTTAATTCAGTAAAATTCATTCAGGATATTGCTATAAATTGTCAGTCTGTCAAGCAAGTTCAGCTCTTTCCCTAGGAACTTCTTTTGTAATTGTCTAGTCAGTGTTGATCTGTCCCAGCATGGGCTCACTGTCTTAAAGGAGCATTGCCTAGCACTGTCTTCTAATAGCTGGTCCTTTAAATTTGGTGGAGAGAAGCAGCTACAGCCCTAAGGTGGCCATTTTGCCTCTGGGGCTGCAAACAGCAATTCCTTTCCATCCATCTGGTAAGTATTTTTAGCTACTATCCTATTTTCTCTTTCTCTTATTCATGAGGAGGTAAACATCCACAAACATGCTCTTCAAATCTTCAGCCTTTGGCTCCCATATTTTATTAAACTTTAAAGGGACGTGGTCACTCCAAATCTGGCCCAGCAATTAGTACGTTACAAAACCTAAGACCAATATAAAAGTTTAAATGGCATTTTTAAAACTGCAACAGAATTAGTTATTTTAAAAAAAGAAACAGTCTCTGTAGTATTTTTAACTTAAACTTTGCAGATCTGAAAACATGAAAGTGAAACTGGATAGAACAGTATTGTCAGCCCCCCAGAAATTAAAATCACGAGTTAGGCCCCCCCAAACTAGAGAAATTGGCTTAAAAATAACAAATTTGGGACTCTTTTTATTTACCTTCTGTTTTTTGAGCCAGTGGGGTTTGCATTTTCAAACTTTTCTCTGCAGCCATTGAGACTAGAAATTTACTTTCTCTTTTCAATATTAAATGAGATTCTCACGTAGGCCTCAACCTTGCAAATACTTATGCATGTGCTTAACTCTTGTAGGGATGAGGTGCCATTGGGACTACTTATGGTAGTAAAGTTAAGTGCATTTTTTTCTAATGCTGTCCAAAACTATCTGCTTTAGATCAGTTGATTTGCAGTTATTTTGCACTGGAGCTTACATTTGTTCCACTGTTTGTCTTTTTGGAAAGCAGTAGTCAGGGCAAACCATGACTTTTTTTATGCATGTTACCTATCTTAGTTCTTCTAAGCACACCAATATTTATTGTATTTATGTCTTTGAAATGTAAAACTTAGTCACCAGCTGAAATTTTATTGGCAGTGGCTGTCATTCTGAAATACCTCTGGTTTAAAGTAAAATGTTTTTTTCATATGAGCCTATTTAATATGTCAGAAAGGGTAGTGGATTTGAAAATGCAAAGATGGTTCTATTTCAGTATATCAGCTGCAGAAATGGGCAAGTCTGGGGCCCCTCACACTTGGAGTAACTAAACTATGAAAATGGGATTTCCAGGGAATTTATGAGTGGAAATCTGCAAGAACCGTTGAGAAGCTTAATGTAGTCTCAGGGCTTCAATAACCCTTGTAATTATTGGTCCTTGCTTTTCTTGAGGAGATGATTGGTAAATCTGCATTGTTATGGATTCACTAACCACAATCCCGCTAGTCCCCCTTTGATCCCCACAGCATTCATTTGACGTGGCACACAAGGAGCCCATGGAACTAGGCTCCATAGCAGTCTCTGCACAGTCCTCTCCACAGAAGAGGCAGTAGGACTTGGTCCTCCACAAATACATCAGAATCAGAAAGTAGATTCAGAGGGCCAGAGTCACTTTCACTGATGCAAGAGGGTGCAAATTTCTCTTCTTGGGCATAGTGAACGACTCCCAATTTCACCTCCAGAACAAAACATGTGGCTGGATTCTGTCAAGAATCCAGGGTCCTTTCAGTTGCAGCCAGGCCTCCATAAGAACTCTCCTGATGGGGGCTGCTTGGATAAATCACATATCCTGCCATGCCTGACTCCTGGTTTGATCCTATCCAGTGCTTTGGCTGCAATGGCAAACTCCAGGTTCCCCTGAAAAATGGTACTTGCAGCATCAAACCCTGCTCCTTGTGGATTTTGTACTTCTGCCCCTTGATACTAATAGTGTAACATCAGGACTATTAAATATAGTTTAACCCAGGAACACTCAAGAATTCCATACAATTATTTGTTTAAACTCCTATTTTTCCACCATTTGTCATTTGTCACTGATGACTCTACTTGTAGAGCCTGTGCTGTGAATATTAGAACCCTGAGTTAACGATGCAGCTCTGACAGAATACTCCTTATTTTATACATGATGACAGGTTTCAGAGTAACAGCCGTGTTAGTCTGTATTAGCAAAAAGAAAAGGAGTACTTGTGGCACCTTAGAGACTAACCAATTTATTTGAGCATGAGCTTTCGTGAGCTACAGCTCACTTCATCGGATGCATACTGTGGAAACTGCAGAAGACGTTATATACACAGAGGCCATGAAACAATACCTTCTCCCACCCCACTCTCCTGCTGGTAATAGCTTATCTAAAGTGATCATCAAGTTGGGCCATTTCCAGCACAAATCCAGGTTTTCTCACCCTCTGCCCCCCCCCCCCAAACTCACTCTCCTGCTGGTAATAGCCCATCCAAAGTGACCGCTCTCTTTAAAATGTGTATGATAATCAAGGTGGGCCATTTCCAGCACAAATCCAGGTTTTCTCACCCTCCCACCCACCCCCCTCCAAAAACCACACACACAAACTCACTCTCCTGCTGGTAATAGCTCATCCAAAGTGACCACTCTCCCTACAATGTGCATGATAATCAAGGTGGGCCATTTCCAGCACAAATCCAGGTTTTCTCACACACCCCCCCCCACACACAAACTCACTCTCCTGCTGGCAATAGCTCATCCAAACTGACCACTCTCCTTACAATGTGCATGATAATCAAGGTGGGCCATTTCCAGCATAAATCCAAGTTTAACCAGAACGTCGGGGGGGGGGTAGAAAAAACAAGGGGAAATAGGCTACCTTGCATAATGACTTAGCCACTCCCAGTCTCTATTTAAGCCTAAATTAATAGTATCCAATTTGCAAATGAATTCCAATTCAGCAGTTTCTCGCTGGAGTCTGGATTTGAAGTTTTTTTGTTTTAAGATAGCGACCTTCATGTCTGTGATTGCGTGACCAGAGAGATTGAAGTGTTCTCCGACTGGTTTATGAATGTTATAATTCTTGACATCTGATTTGTGTCCATTTATTCTTTTACGTAGAGATTGTCCAGTTTGACCAATGTACATGGCAGAGGGGCATTGCTGGCACATGATGGCATATATCACATTGGTGGATGTGCAGGTGAACGAGCCTCTGATAGTGTGGCTGATGTTATTAGGCCCTATGACGGTGTCCCCTGAATAGATATGTGGGCACAGTTGGCAACGGGCTTTGTTGCAAGGATAGGTTCCTGGGTTAGTGGTTCTGTTGTGTGGTATGTGGTTGTTGGTGAGTATTTGCTTCAGGTTGGGGGGCTGTCTGTAGGCAAGGACTGGCCTGTCTCCCAAGGTTTGTGAGAGTGTTGGGTCATCCTTCAGGATAGGTTGTAGATCCTTAATAATGCGTTGGAGGGGTTTTAGTTGGGGGCTGAAGGTGACGGCTAGAGGCGTTCTGTTATTTTCTTTGTTAGGCCTGTCCTGTAGTAGATGACTTCTGGGAACTCTTCTGGCTCTATCAATCTGTTTCTTCACTTCCGCAGGTGGGTATTGTAGTTGTAAGAATGCTTGATAGAGATCTTGTAGGTGTTTGTCTCTGTCTGAGGGGTTGGAGCAAATGCGGTTGTATCGCAGAGCTTGGCTGTAGACGATGGATCGTGTGGTGTGGTCAGGGTGAAAGCTGGAGGCAAGTAGGTAGGAATAG